GGCCCGTCGGGGGCCCGGCGGCTCCCCGCCAACTCCTGAGGCCGCCTTCCCTCAGGGAGCCGCCCAGCCCGCTGCCGGCTGCAGGAGGCCGCTCTGGGGGGCCAAGACGAGGTGAATGCAGCTGCATTCGCAGCCTCTTTTGGCCCAGCCTCTTCGCTGAGTGCCTTCGCTTTCTGTGCCTTGCTTCTGCCGGGAAGCCCTGACGCTGCCCTGAGCTGCTGAGTGGGGAAGAGTCGGCCTGGCCGTTGCTGGAGCCCATCTGTTTTCTCCACCACCTGCTCCCATGGCGCCTTGTGCTCTGCTGGGCTGCCTGAACAGGCAGATGGTGCGGGGGTGCTGTTGGCTTGGCAGGGGAAACTGAGAACGGTCAGCTCAGAGCATGTCCTGTCCAGTCTCGGAACTTTGTTTACCTTTTGCTTTAAATAAAATCGGGGGCTACCGTGTTCTTTCTTAGTGGATCAGTTTGCAGAAGCTTTTTAGTATTGAAGGCACTGTCTGACACTGCATATTTACTAAAATATTTTCTCTAGAAAACGTTTGTTTGTTTGCATATGTCAATGCGTCAGCTTGAATTTATCTAGTATCGAATGTTGTGGGGTTTTTTATAGTGTAAATACAATATGCAAGTTTAAGCGCTCCTGTGCTAATGCCTGGGTCTGTGGTGTTGCAGAGGAATGCGGGCAGTAGCTCAGATGGAACAGAAGACTCCGATTTCTCTACTGATCCTGAGCATACGGACAGCTCTGAAAGCGATGGCACATCACGACGATCCGCCCGTGTGACCCGTTCCTCAGCCAGACTCAGTCAAAGCTCTCAAGGTAAATGCTTTATTTTCTTAAACGAGGAAAAGAAAAGCAGCCTCTTAAGCAACAAGAGGCTTAATGTACTCCATATTCCTGAGCTTTAGAACTTAAATGTGTGGCGTTAATACCTAAATACAAATAGTGAACTTTTTTCATTGGCTATTAATGTACCACAGCAAAAAGCAGTCTTTATATGTGTGTATTGCACAAATGAGGTAATACAATCTAGCAATTACACTGGTGGTGGAAGTCAAAACTTGAGTATCCTCAGCTCAAAAAGTAAAGCTCCTTACTTTTTAAAGGAAGTAGGAATCAAACACCGCGATTCTGCTGCCAGGGTTGCCCAATTTTTCTGAGAACTCTAAGAACTTGCTTTCCATCTAGACAGTTGTATTGGTACTGGAGCCAAGCTAGAGAGAGGGGGGTTTAGAGGTGAGAGTTGGTTTTAGTTTGTTTGTTTGTTTGGGGTTTTCTGTACTGCAAGGAAAGACGTATTTTCATGACTTGCTGATGCTGACCCTACACTGCAGTAAATGTAATCAACATATTGCCAGTTATTTCATGTGCTTCTACTTTGGCATCCAGATTGCAAGAGGAAACATTGAATGTGTCCACCTCCTCATTTTTAGTCTTAGTGTAGTCATTTCTTGGCTGCTAGTTAATAAGCTGCCATCTGGCATCAAGGGGAGGGAATGGCAGTAGATAGTAACTTCCTTCCATTGCTCCATGATAAAGAATCTGTTTTGTGACAAATTTTATTGCGGGTAAGAAATATATACATGCAAGATCATATGGTAATTAGATCTCAAAAAGAAGAGGAAAGGTGGTTTGAATGCGTATGGGATGCCTGTGATATTCCTAGGTTATGAAAGCATTATTTTCATGCAAAATAATTGTTTTATAGTCTTATGAGCAGTGTAGGATCACAAAGCCATGCACAGGGTCCCAAATGTAACTACACACCAGAAGCAGTCTCGCTGTTCCCAAGGGTTGTCTAAACACCAATAGTTCTTATCTAAACTAACGGCTCTTTAGCTTTCCAAATGGGAGCTGGTTTGTAATTACTAGTTAATTAAGTAATTAAGTCCAGAGAAAGCTGATCTAATTCTGGATTCCTCAGTGTTGGTAAAAGTGTCAAAAGATTTAAGCGTAGAAGAACAGAGAGTATCTTTGTGATGACATGAGCGGTAGGACAGAACTCTGATGATACCCAGCTATCAGATGTTGGTATTACAGACTTCAGAGCACATGTCGGACAAGTCTCTGACTTACAGTGGTTACTGTGGGTGCAATTATGGTGTTTCTATGGAATTAGATTCCAGCCCGGTTCGTAATCCGCCATCGTTTGGAGCAGAAGAGCCTGTCTATTCTACAAGGAGAGTAACCCGCAGCCAACAGCAGCCTACTCCTGTGACTCCGAAGAAATACCCGCTCCGGCAGACTCGCTCCTCTGGGTCAGAGACTGAGCAAGTGGTTGACTTTTCCGATAGAGGTACGTGAGGTGGGGTGAGGTGTTGAAAGTTTGCCAAATGCTGTTGGAAAGAGTATGTGACTCCATTCTCTGAGGGCACAGTATAATATCCTGAGGATAGAGGGTTTGAGACAGCTGTCCAGAGTTGCTTTACATATTTTTTTGAAAGCTTTCTTTCAGGCAAATTTGTAACATCTTGATCCTTATTCAGACACTAAAAATGCAGCGGATCACGATGAGTCTCCACCTCGTACCCCCACCGGGAATGCCCCTTCCTCAGAGTCTGATATTGATATCTCCAGTCCAAATGTATCCCATGATGAGAGCATTGCCAAGGACATGTCCATGAAGGATTCTGGAAGTGACCTGTCTCACCGCCCTAAGCGCCGCCGCTTCCATGAAAGCTACAATTTCAACATGAAATGTCCCACTCCTGGTTGTAACTCTTTAGGTAATTTCAGCTCCAGGATTAATCTGTTGGGTTTTGCCTTCCTGCTGTGATAGTCAAAGTCCCGCTCAGTTGAGTTATGCATCCTAACAGTATGCACTTAGTCAGGATCAGCAGTATGATTGAGAAGCGGGCCTAGAGAAGGGATATGAAGCATATCTGCAGGTATATTCTTCCTGGAGGTGTTTTCTGGCTAGGAGCGTTTGGGGGATGATAGGGTAATGAACAAGGTAGGAGCAGGAGCACAGGTGTGGGAGGAAAACGCAGAGTCACGCAGGTAGGGTCCTGGTCTCTGCCAGAAGCAGGTTTTTGGAAACAAATTATTGTAGACCTCTAATATACCTGGCTGCTTGCATGGAGCGCAGCTTTTGAGTTAGCATGAAAAAGGTTTTCCTCCTTTGTTCTTAAAGCTTGTGCCATGAACCATGACATGCGCTCCTTCTGTCACACTGGTAATAAACTGAGCGTGCTCCTTGAGAAGCTCCTATGAGGTATCTGCCCATCTAGGATACTTTTGAAACCTTTTCATGATCATATGTTAAAAGTGGTTTTTTTTCTAATACTTTGCAGGGCACCTAACTGGAAAACACGAGCGACACTTCTCCATATCGGGATGCCCACTGTATCATAATCTCTCAGCAGATGAGTGCAAGGTAAACGAAGCTTCCGGTTTATCTTCCTTATGCTTTTTTTTGAGCAAAATGCCAAGACCTGTCATTTGTGAACAGGAAACAGAGCTAACCTGTTTCAGCTGATGTCTTTAGCTGTGAGACAGCAGCACCTGTGTGTCAAGTCATCTGTGAATTACAGTTCAGAAAGTTCACCTAAACGAGAAATGGAAAAGCTTAAGGCTTTGCGAGTAGTTTGCTGTAGCATTGACAGATGAGTTTTGGCTTCCAGGTGCGAGCGCAGAGCCGGGATAAGCAGATTGAGGAGAGGATGCTGGCCCATCGGCAGGACGACAACAACAGGCATGCCACCAGACACCAGGTGGGCACTCGGCACATAATGGGGCGGCTGCTCAGTTAAAAGTGGAAAAACCTCGGTTTGTGGTTTCCAGAGACAATGATTTTAACTTGATCTCCCTTCTTCATTTCTCGGATAAGCTATTGTGCTGAGTCCTGACGCTCCCATTTGTCATCTCCAGTTTGTTCCAGCAAGGGCAATTCATTGTATCCTTTAAAGGAGAGACTGGGACAGCTAGCGAGAGCAGAGAGGTGGCATTGGCCAGTATTAACTACAAAGGAGGCTGGAGCTGTTCTCAGGATGATCTTTTCTGCGTGCTTTGGTGTGTAGCACAAGAGAATTCCTGCAGAACTGTGAACTACAATTTTACTCTGACTAAACAGAAAAGAATAAAATCAGGGGAATTACGTTTTTCAGTTCATGAGTCTTGGACTTGAGTCAAGATGACTTAATGAGTCGGCTCTGAGCTTGTCCTCATGATTAAGCCATGCATGAGGAGTGCGCCCTGTCTTGTGGGACTGAGGTACATTGGCAAAGGCAAGCTGCGGTAGGAAGAAAAATTTCCTATTTTACATACCTGTGTTGTACCTGCAGTGCCCTCTTATTAGCACAGGATTTGGTTCGGAGGCAACAAACGTCATAAAATGAAAGCCAGGACAGAGGCCCTTTAGAGTGGGAAGGTGAAAAAAAATGTTTGAAGCGGGTGAAGCCTCGTGAAGGTTTCCACCTCTGGTTTCTTCCAGGCACCAACAGAGAGGCAGCTGCGATACAAAGAGAAAGTAGCTGAGCTCAGGAAGAAGAGGAACTCGGGACTGAGCAAGGAACAAAAAGAAAAATATATGGTAAAAGCAGTAATTTTATTTCATTCCTTCCTGTCTGGAATGAGACCGCTAAGCGGGAGTTTGACTTTCCCAGTCACCCTGCAACATTCTCGGCTGAAAAAGCTGCGAGACCCAACAGCTTGGCCGTGGCAAGGCAGCAAACCCTCCTGTTATTTTACTGTTCTAGGAGCACAGACAAACCTATGGCAATACTCGGGAACCTCTGCTTGAAAACCTGACGAGCGAGTATGACCTTGAGCTTTTCCGAAGAGCGCAAGCACGGGCGTCTGAGGACCTGGTGAGGCTTCTAACTCACAATATATCTCATAGCAAATGTCTTTGTTAGAAACTCGAATGCTTGCTGGGGTTTGTTGTACTTGTGCAGATGGAATCAGAGTTTGTGAAGAGCAGCTACAGCCCAGCCAAGGCAGCAGTGTTAGACTAGGGATAATGTTTAAGTGCCAGTCATTCAGAGGGTTTGCTGAAAGTACAGCTGGAGCTAAGCATTTGCAGTCACGAATGCTGCAAGAGGAATAATTAGTAACAGTCCTATTTCATAGGTGTTTGTTTTCAGTGAAAGAATGGGCGGCTTCACCTGCTGAAAGATGGGATAAGGAGTGATGATAGCAAAAGACAAAAGTCATCTTGACAGTTGCAGGTGACTGTGGAATGGGGTTCAAAACCTCGTCTTGCTGAGGCTTCTGTAGGTGCTTTCCAAAGCTACTTCCCATCTCCAGAGATGGACCAAAAGGTACTTTGATGCTTACCAGTGACAATTGCATCTGGGATGTCCGAGGCAGGCATTAGGCTGTATCCTCTGCAGATTAGGAAAGAAGCATGAAGTGGCAAGGAGGTTATGTTGCTTTGATGACAGAAAGAGGAGGATCCTAGTGTTAGCCTGCTGCTGAGTGCTGATTCACAAGGCATTTCCCGATGAAAGGAACAGTCAGTAACTATGCTGCCTGTGGAGAGGGCTCAGGCTGAGTTTGAGGAGAGGTCCGTGGGGAGGGGTCATTAGATGTGGTCACACTGAAGGATGAATTTAGAAGACTTGAAAGTAAATTATTTCTTTGAGTGAGATAAACAGGGGCCCCTTCCTCTCTACCTACCTTTTAATATTTTTTTTTTAAGTAATCATCCATTTTTTTCATTCGTAGGAAAAGTTGCGACTCCAGGGCCAAATTACAGAAGGCAGCAATATGATTAAAACAATCGCTTTTGGCCGTTATGAGCTGGATACCTGGTATCATTCTCCCTACCCAGAGGAGTATGCTCGTCTGGGGCGTCTCTACATGTGCGAGTTCTGTCTCAAATATATGAAGAGCCAGACCATACTGCGCAGACACATGGTAAGGGCCAGGGCAGAGCTGATTCCTGAGCTTTAAATCTGATGTCAGCGTGTAAATATTTTAAAACATTACTGTTGTTAGCTCAGTTGCTCGCTTTAGGAGGTGAGAAGACTGCATGTTTCCTGGTGTATCCCGTAGCTGTTGTAACCTTTTCTGCCCTTAAAACAGTAGTGTCTCCCTAACTTTGTTTTCCTGTCGTAGGCTAAATGTGTTTGGAAACATCCACCGGGTGATGAAATCTACCGCAAAGGCTCCATTTCGGTGTTTGAAGTGGATGGGAAAAAGAACAAGGTAACGAACTGCGATCATTAGGCCAGCCTGGAGTGTGGAGTATCTGTCAAATGTGCCAGGCACTGCTTTTCCTGTAGAGAAACAGGATACAAATGGCCCTTTCTCCCTCTAATTGCAGAAAGGCCACTAGAGTCTGATCTGTCCATTCGTGCAGTTCTGGCAGTACTTTCGTCTGCATTTCCTATGTAGTTATTCCTCAGCCCTGTTGTGCTCCAGCAGTTGCAGCTGTTGTCTTGTACTGTGCTGGATCAGTAGCTTTTGGAGATGTGTGTTGAGATCCCTTTCTGAGAGTTAGCGGGGAGATCCTGTGCTTGGCCTCAGGAGCTTGCTACTGCCCAGCTCCCATTCACTGGGAATACTCGGTCAAATCCGGGTTGGAGTGGGAAGCAGCCTGACGTTACCGAGGGTGGCCTGAACTGAATCTGCAACCACAGGTTCAGTGCTAGGCAGTAGCACCACGCCTGTGCCCTGTCTCTGGTTGTGTCCGGTCTTGAAGGCTTCAGAGGAAAGAACAAAGAAAGAAATTCAAAAGCTAAATTTTGCACTGCCAGAAGTTGGGAGGAGTCTTTGCTAGTTATCGAGATAACCTTGGAGCACGGGATTAATACAATACGGCGCAAGCAAGCAGAGATCCAACCTTCTGCTTCCCTTCACTGAGGATGTGATGTTTTGGGCATTCAGAGATTGATATCGCAAACACCGGTTCCCACCCCCAGGAAGGCAGGCTTATCAGGTTTCATCACAAATGGAATTGTTTCCTGGCCCAGCTGCTCTGTTTGAAAGACCGTACGTCATTTCTCAGATGACTCAGAATTTTCTTGTCATTTCCCATGTATGCCTGGCTTGTCCTCTCTTGGGATGTCCCACTGTAATAAACAGGTGTATTCTATTCTCCTTTTGCTTCTAGATCTACTGTCAAAACCTGTGTCTGCTGGCAAAACTTTTCTTGGACCATAAAACACTGTATTATGATGTTGAACCTTTCCTCTTCTATGTCATGACAGAAGCTGACAACACCGGCTGTCACCTGATAGGATATTTCTCCAAGGTTAGTTGAAAATGCATAGGTATTACTGCCTCACTGGGATGGGATTTAGGGCACCAGTAATCAGTACTGAATCTCCCCTCTGAGTTTTTGCAGTCTCGGGATTTGTTGCTTTCAGGAATAGATAAAGGTTCAAACCTGATCTGCATGAATTGTTTGCTGCAGGGGATGCAGGTGCTTTGCTGTAGCAGCTTTCCTCATTACTGGCAAAAACCAAATCATCTCAAATGAATTATTGTTGCTAGGAAGCATGGTGGTGTCTTAAATGTAGGCAAAAGTAATGATAAGGAGAATGTAAAGAAATGTGGAGAAAATGCATTAAAATAAGTATTAGTCACCATGATTTTTTTAATAAAGTACTTTGAGGAATATCTTCAGTGGAGAAGCTGAGACATGACTCAAGTAACTTAAGCAGGTCCCATGAGTAAGTCACTGGCCAAGCTCGGAGTAGGAGCCAGTTTTCTCAACTGTTTGCTTGGACATGTTGCCTACCTAAAAAATAGCCAATCTGCTTGTTTAATCTCTGCTGCACATTGGTGAAATACATTTCCTGGTTGTTCCTACTTCAGTACAGAAAAAGCAATTACCCTTCTGGACGCGGTGATACCATGCAATGCAGTTACCAGTTTAGATATTACAGTCAGTGAAATTGTATAGGTAGGAAGAATACTCTCCCAAATAAAGGGCAGGAAACTATTCCTTAAACCAGCTGAGTCAAAACCAAGTAAATATCTAAACCAAAACCAACGCTCTAAAGAACAATCTGCCTTGATCTGAGGGTAAGTGTGCCTGAGTCTCCTCTTTGGCCGAACATTTCGATACACACCACGTGCTTACAATGCTGCTACGTCTTTTTGTTGTTGCATGAAAACCCGGTAGATGACAGAGGTGGCAGTGAGCGTGTTACTGGCTCCTTCTCAGGTACAGCTTCATGGCCAGCCATACTGGGATTAAAATTGTGCACCAAGCACCCAGTTGAGTGGCTAATAAAGACAGCCACTAAGCCAGGCTGGGAGCTTACTTGTTGTCAGGCAGGTTTTTCTGCTGTTGCTCCTTTCAGCTTGTATGGTATCAGTTGCACAGGCTTGTTCCTTCTTGGGATTGTGATATATACCCCTGGTTTGTACAGATCTAGGCCTGTTAATCTGTCCTCTCTGTTCTTGTTTTTAGGAGAAGAATTCTTTTCTCAACTACAATGTTTCTTGTATCCTGACAATGCCTCAGTACATGAGGCAAGGCTACGGCAAAATGCTCATTGACTTCAGTAAGTAGAGAGAGGGAAATTCTGGAAACATACTCTGTCCAACAGGACAATTTCACCTAGGAATCTGACTGGTCTGTGGTGGTGGTTGAGCACTTTTCATTACAGCTGATTTCTGCATGTGCTAAAGGGGGTAACAGTCAGGAGAGAGTGGTTCGGAAAGGATAAATAGGTTTTCTGTCCTTTACAGGCTATTTGCTTTCTAAAGTAGAAGAAAAAGTTGGCTCTCCAGAACGCCCTCTGTCTGATTTAGGTCTCATCAGCTACCGTAGTTACTGGAAGGAAGTTCTCCTTCGCTACCTGCATAATTTCCAAGGAAAAGAGATCTCTATAAAAGGTATGTTTTCAAGCTAAATCAGCTTGTAGTGAATTGGTTCAGGAACTATGCATCTCACTCACTTGTTTTCCTCAAATATGAGGCAGGTCACGCTTGACTCATTCATACAGGTGTTTAGGTAGCAGCACAGTCAGTGCAGTGTTCCTGTAGCTGGGTATGGCTCCTTTCCAGTCCTGCCACCATTAAGGGCAAGCCAGCTCGCAGAGTTTGGAAAGTATGTACTGGCAGCTTCTTTTAAAAAATACATTTTTAAAAAGATTCAGCAGAGAACTTTATCTATCTGTGGATTAGAATGTTAATTTAAAAAAGAAAAATGGCTCCACTGAGAGGCTTTCAAATGCTTTGGAAAAATACCAAGACTGTTTGGGCTTCTAAATAACATTTTTATGTTTATGGCACCTCGGAGTACGCAGCATTTCACAGCGATATCTGAAGACGCAGCCACATCTCTTTCCAGAGGGTTACACTTCGTTAACTTGGGCGCTAACATCAGTATCACTAAATCATTGTGATGTCTAGGCTGGCTTTCAGTGTGGGGTGAGCCAGGCTGCTTCTGTCACCCCTCATGGCTTGCATCCATAGCCTGTGGTTCTTCCAGCTGTTTGCAGCCCGTCAGCCCTCAGGAGTGAAGTGGGCGAAGGCAAGTGGCTCGGCAGGGCTACAGATAAGCGGGGTGGTGGGAGGGTGCCGGCCATGCAGCAGCAGTGGTGCTGCACCTGCTGCCCTTCATTTCTGCAAGGCATTTTGTGTGTAGCACTTCAACAGGAGTTGCATAAAAGCTGTTGCTGAAAACTAACAATCATAGGCTATTGCGAAGGGATTTGTAACCTAAACCGATACTGGTTTGCAGAAATCAGCCAGGAGACTGCAGTAAACCCTGTCGACATTGTCAGCACGTTGCAGGCACTTCAGATGCTCAAGTACTGGAAGGGAAAACACCTGGTCCTGAAAAGACAGGTAAGATTGGTGATGGCTATTTCTGCATTTTTGCTTCCTTCTGTTCAGATGTTAGATTCACACCCAGTTGCTGAAACCAGTATTTCCTTTGCACTGTGCTGGGGTTTTCAGCCTTTTCATTCTAGTGGGGAGCACTGTAATTCTCAAATGCAGTAACTGATAGAGTACGACACGGGCATCCAACCCGATTCTTCAGTAGTGCAGAAATACGCTGTATTGGCCTTTCTCTTCTGATGTGGGGGATAATGTTGCTCATTGTAAGCAGCTTCTTAGGGGGGAGCAATGGATCAACATTCCCATCGTGCTCCTCATCGTGCCTGCCCTTTATTGGGCCAACGGACGATGTAGAAGTGAACTGAACTAATGGGATCCCGAATGAGTTCTGTTTGTACCCTCGTTAGATACAAGTCAAGTGGTTTACAAGTCCCCCAATGTGACAGCTTCTCTTTTGTTTTCCCCTCCCTGAGACTTCACTTTGTAGCTAAAAGCAGCCTGATCAGTGTGACTGGAAGGAAGGGCTTCTAGAAGGCACTGTGGAGGAAACGTTATTTTTGTCACGCTAAGCAGTTAGTAGGCCAATCATCTTCAGATTTGTGGACTTAGTGTGTGGTGGTGTGCCGTGGATAATTCTCCATCATGGATTATTTGTTTTAACCTGCCCTTTCGTGCTCTCTTCCTTAGGATCTGATTGATGAATGGATAGCCAAAGAGGCAAAAAGATCCAACAGCAATAAGATAATGGATCCCAGCTGTTTGAAATGGACCCCTCCTAAGGGAACTTAACTGTCTATCACTCCTGAAGCCAGTGAACCCCAGCAGTAGGAACTACCCTAGGGATCTCTGTTGTATCTGTTGCTGTTGTGATTGGCTGGTACAGTACCCTCACGAAAGATCAGTTCCCCTTGGTACTGTTCTGGCCCAGATCTTTTGTGCACACCACAGACGCTAGTTCTGAGGAACTTTATGTTTCGGCCTCAATGAGGTTGCAAGGATTGGATCTGTATAGGACCCAAACGAAGCTCCTAGCAGCACTGGCCCAAGGAGTTCTGATATCTGGTACTGTACCTGTCCAGTCACTGGTCTTACCCTCATGTTCTTATTCTGATGAGGTTGTGTTGTGTCCTATAATCTGGTTGTTTCTTCCTTCAGGTTCCTTGCGTTCTAAGTAATGGAGGTAACTTCTGTGGCTTTTGAACAAGGTCTAATAGCGCTTGTTTGGGGAAAGTCTGGTTTTCCAACAAGCTGCAGTTACACTGACTTCAGCATTTTTAACCAGTCCTGTCTGATGGACCATTCGTTCCATGTATCAGATAGTTCCAGTAAGATAACATGCCACCTCTTTCAGCAGTGTTTTCCACATAATATAGCAGGTCTTCGCATAGTTAATATTGTACAGTCAGAAGCTTGCGTATCTTGTATCTGAGTGGTGTGATTGTTAGTGTTACCCTGGAGGAGTCAAGGCGAGGTGTGAGAACATCACGGTCTGAGGTGTTTCGTAGAGTTGCTCTTGGTGTATGCTCCCGGAGCTACTGCAGTGCCACGGCGGTTGGAGAGACCTCTTTGATTGTAAGTTGCTGTTTTTTCCTGTTTTATCTCTTGGAGTTTGTGGGTTCCTTTACACAGAAACAGCCTGTTCAGTATATTTCACTGGAGATGTTTTTCCCAGAGCAGTCTTCCTTGAATTGTAGGTCTCTATTGGAGAGGATTTTTTTTCTTCTAGACTGAAGAAATAAAAACTTCAGACAGACTTTAGCTAGCCTTGTCCAAACAGCCACAGAAACTCCACCATGCAAATATCGTCCGTTGTTGGATTGCCTACAGTGTACGTTCTGTGCGTCACCGGCAGCTCCACTTAGCTGTGTGGATGGTTTGCTTCTCTGACAGTGCATCCTTGTTTGTCTTTGTAAAACAGAAAAGCTTTGACTTCCTCTCTCCCATCAGCACCACCGGAAGAAACTATTGTACAATGGCTTTCAAGTATAACCACTGTCCTTGTGCCACAAGTTTCCTTTATGGCTCCAGTGTGATTAAAAGGGGGGACAATCTTGGGGTGGACAATGGCAGCATCACATAGTGCCGACTTCATTGAAACCTTCCAATGCTTTTGTATTGAACGGTGTCTGAAACGAAGCACTCCCGGTGTACCAGTAGGTAGGAGCCGTCTCCCGTTAACCACTGACCCATCCTAATGTGGAAAAGTTCTCTATTGCTCTTCTGATGGTTGTCTGCCTTTCTCTGCCTCCTTAAAAAAAAGAAACAGAAAAAAGATCATCAGTACATGGTGTATACCTTGCGGGCATTACTGAATTTTGCTGTCTCATGCCCTTTGCTCCTGTATTGTAACTAACTGCAGATACTCATGAAACTATCCAACGAAGTAGATCTCGCGTGGAGTAGGGAAGAAGGCCATTCTTGTGCAGAAGCTAAACCCTGTTCCCATGATGTGGTAGAATGTGCTATTCTTGTATCTACTTCTCAATAAAGCATGTTCTCTGCTCAAGTTTATGCCTTCTTTTTATTTTTTTCAGTCAGATGCTATTCTGCATCTCCAGTTCAGTGAAGCTGCTGCTTTACGTTGCAGGGGACTCGTTTTGAACCTGTCTCTGTGCCTGGTGTATTAAGGATTGTGACTGGAGCGGCCTTTATGTTGAACCTTTTGGAAAGAGCCTGTGTTGCGTACTCGCTGTAGAGCTGATTGTGCACAGGAGGTTACCATGAGAAATATGGCGATGGTGCCAGGTACTGGCAACTTCAGTATGTCCTGCAAAACTGCAATGATAGCAGCTGTCAACCTGAAGTTCACTGAAGAAGGAAGGAATTATCCTAAAAGCAATGGCCCTAGATTTTTAGCCTTGTCTTCTGTGCTTCCATGCCCAGATCTTCATGCTGCTTGTACTGTGGGAGGACTTGGGGTAGCAAAGTCTCTGGTATTCAAAAAACTGTTTGAAGTTCAGTACATCTCTCAAACATTTTGAGTCTTTGATGTAATCTCTGATATAAAAGGGTTAATTACACGTATCTGCTCCAGCTCCCTCCAGAGATTCTGCTTTCCTACTTAACTCAGCAGAAGTTAAAAAAGTCAGGAATGTTTTTGGACTCTGGGCTCCACACTGCAGAGAGGCTGAGGGTGCAGCTGATACGTCAGTGATCGTGGCCTGGGACTTGAGATGCTCCGCTTATGAAGAATGAGAGCAACTAATTGAGATGGAATACCTTGGTGGTCTTGTTCTGGTTAAGATCAAAATCAAGGACACTTCCCCAAACAATGATGTTTGTGTACTCAAGTCACATCAAGGCTCTTCCTAGTTCTGTCTTGTTTTCCTTAATCATAGAATCACAGAATCGTTTGGGTTGGAAAAGCCCTTTAAGCTCACCCAGCCCCGCAGTTCCCTTAACCCTGCCATCCCACCGCTAAACTCTGGCCCTAAGCACCTCGTCTGCCCGGCTTTTAAATATCCCCAGGGGTGGGGACTCGACCCCTTCCAGGGCTTGACAGCCCTTTTGGTGAAGAAATTTTTCCTAATGTTAATCAGACAGGTTTTTAAGCCTTCGGTTTGGGAGCATTGCTTCTACTTATTTGAGCACTGTTTTGTGCAATACCAGTTGCCTTTTTTTTTTTTTCCTTTTTGGTTTCTTTTTGGTGGTGGGGGGGAGAGGGGGTGGTTGTTTTTCTTGCAAGTAGAGATGCAGTGTGATTTAGTTTGCAGATAACTGGACAGAGAGACAAGAGGATATGGGTTTTATTCCCTGCTGTGTGACAGTCGCCCCCTCTCTCAGCTTTTGTTTCCCTCCAGTCCTTACTCTGTCAAGTCTGTTTGTTGTGACTTCTCTGAGGCAGCAACTGTCTCTCTGTGTATGTAGAGTCCTTAACACGATGGGGTCCCACGCTTGGCTGAGACCTCTGGGTGCTTTGGTAATGCAAACACTAACTAAATAGTGAGTCATACAGATAGCCATAAACATGGCTGGGTAACCAGAGGATGAGACATGCTCACAGTTTCACCCACAGTTTATTCATAGCAACTGCAAACTTACAGGTGTTGTATTCCGTTCAGGCAGTTTGAAGCCCACCTGAACATCAGGATGCTACCAAAAAGCAGCTGGTGCTTTCAGTAAATTTTCCTAGGCTGATGCTTTCTTAGCTTCTTCTTTTCTTAAAAAAAAAAAAAAAAAGAAAGCCTGCATTTGGCCTTGACCTGAGACAGGAATAGAAAATGTACGTCATTTTAGGCACACTGGTAGCCCTGCAGGGTGCCCTGCTGCAACAGACCCAAAGCAGCCCTAGCACAACTACAGATTCAGTGCAAGACTGAACGAGACCAGCTCTGCGTTCCAGAAGCAAGAACCGACTGTGGAACTGAGAGTCGTATAAATCAAATACGATTTGGAATGCCAGTAAAGGTGAAGAGCTGGAGCAGATACAGCCTCCTAAGGAATCTGCTGGTTTTGAACACCTCGGGTTGTGTGCCCAAGCCAGAGAGGTACCCTACCAAAGAATGAGAGGGAAACCCAGGTCTTCCAATGCTTTAAGAGCAAACTCATCCTTTTGTCCATGGGCCAGCAATGAAGTTTGTTCATTTTGGATGTCATCTAATGCACTTCTCCTATATATTTTCCAAGAAGATTGTAATTCAGCAGAGCCAAGGTTAAAAAACCTTTCTGTCTCTGTCAGTAAATGAGAAGTAGCCCTCTGAAAGCTTTAGGGGCATGGTAGTACCAGCGTGTGTACCTCCAGAACAGTATTGTTTCCTGTTGAGTTTGTTTCCCAGAGAATTTTCCATGACTTCTGCCCCTTTGCTTAAACTCCAGCTACCCTGTGGCCATTTTACCGGTGGTCCCGCTAGTCTGCAACTTTTTCCCTGTTTATTTTGCTGTTTCTGGCTGTCCAGATGTCATGGTTAAAACAACTTCTCTTTCTATTTTAGTCTCCGTATTAAAGTACAGGTGTGATAGCACAAACTGTGGACAATATAACTCGGGCATGTGCTTTCCCAAGGATTTCACCTGCACTTCTCTGCTTTGGATCACTGTTATTCCAGGGTTACAGTGTCACTACACACAGTTGCTGTATTTCTGGCTGGACATAGACAAACAGCATGGACATACGCTCTGCTCTTGAGCTGGGCTCACCGTTGTTTCAGCTGTAGGAAGCTGAACTGAAGTTACTGGATCTCGTTAGTGCACAACTCATGTATTTAAGAATCCCCCAAACCACTCCAAGTTTCTCCAAGTAGTTTAAGATTTCATAGCAGGAGAGATTCTTAGCTCTTGTGCCAACTAGTGTAGGAACCGCTTGTCTGGATCAAATCTAAGATCAGTTGAACCCAATAATGTGTCTGACAGGAGCAGGAGATTCATGTTCAAAATTAGTGACTGCCTCAACAATGTATGTCATCATTCATTATCATATCTACATACCTCTTTAAAGAAATACATCTTTATAAACTATGTCTCCTCCTCAAGTGTTCAATTATGGTTTACTGGTGCATTCTGAAGCCATCCAGGGCCCTGCTTTATCCTCTGCTCACCCCGGTGTATATCAGAGCAGCCTCAGGGCTGCTTTAATAGTACGCTATCCCAACACTTCCCTCCGCCTTAAAACACACCATACTTCAGCCTCTCCTCAGCCTCATCCTTGAATCCAGACTGGAAGCACGAGGGATCTGAAGACCTCAGATGTGCTGACCCTAACAGAGAACAAGCCCTGCAAAGAGTTTTCTGAGGAACTGCTGCTCCAGCCTAGCGTGAGTGAGGCCGGGACTTTCTCAGAATCCGCCACTGGAAAATGCTCTTTTGACCCTGGACATAGCTAAATTATTTTTTCTTCTGAATTTCTTCAAAAGACAAGGAACGTAAAGCTGTTCCAGCATGGAAGCTTTCCAAATTGAACTTCTGCCCAGGGCAAGGCAAGTTTTTACCATTAAACCCCCCCCCCCCCAATGAGAATTTAGAATGGGTATGATGATAGACTGTGAATTACTGCCGTTACATGGGGAATGGTCTCATTTGCTCATCACACTCTGTGCTTTGGAGATCCGGGTTTTGTTAATGAGCAGGCGAGCTCTCCCGAGCCCTTCGGGGCCTGCCGTTGCATGAACTTCCATGTCGCAGTGTGGAGAACTGAGACAAAGGCAGCAGGCGCAGGGATGCCGCCGCCATCACCCTCTCACAAGCTGCTTACTCTTAACCCTGCGCTTCATTGTGCTGCCCTCCGTTGTACCAGCCCAGGGTTCATGGGGGCAACGCTGAGCCAGGTCTCTGACGTGATCCAAACCTCTCCATCTTTCACTCCTCCTGTCCCGCAACCATTTCCTCTGGCAGGCCACAAGGCCCCTCCTTCTTACATTTTTTTTTCCAGGCTCCTGCAATGCAAGGTACAATAAAGAGTTCTCACCGCGGTGAGGCAAACTGGTGCTGCTGCTTCTTCACTGAGCAGATCTGCGTGCATCTCCAGGAATTGGCCCATCGCTGCCGTTCCCTTTCCCCATCTGAGCACTGGTAGTTCTGCTGGCTTTTCCTTCTTGATGTAATTGTTTGGGGCAGGATGTGGTCATGTTGTGGCCACGCTGAGGATCTGTAGGGAAGGAATAGGTGGTTGATATTCCTATAAAGAACACCAGAGGAAAAGAGACAAGCAGGGAAGCAGGAAGGAAAGGAAGCTAAATATGTAAAATTACTTCAGTTGTTTCTATTGTGATGGCTGTGTAACTCTGAGCTGAGTTTAAACCCTTGTGAGACAGTCCATCTGCCAGTAACTCCGCCCTCCTGTTGTTCCAAAACTATGGAAAGAACTAGAACACCTACCTCTCACTCCAGCTCACAGACGAGGGGAAAAGCAACTCTATTTTTGAGAGCATCCCCTGTAATTAGCTCTGCTCTTTCCCCCCTCCCCTGGGCTCCGGCCCACACACCACAAGAAAACACCCAGACCCAAGTCTGGGATGACAGCAGAGGTGTAGCAAAAAGGGAGAAAACAAAAGGAAAAGAAAACATCCCCAGGAAGCGAACGGATCTCAAAGGCTCCTGCGAGTGTTGGACAGTAAAAGATTTCAAATTCAAAGAGAGCTGCTAAACTGGGCTTGGCGCCTTTCTCCAGCGTCGCAATTAACTCCTGTGCTGAACAGTGGTAACATACTTCTTCCTTTGCGCCCACTTTGCACGCACATCCACGAGATCCACAAAGTACAATGAACCTGCATCATATATTAGTAGTAGGAAGTGGAAAAAGGTAGGCTTCTGCAGCTAGGTTACGTATCCTGTTACTTGTAGAAATTAATCCTCCAAAGAATGAGCATGAACGTGCTGAGCTACGTAAGGCGCTAGACAACCGACAATCTTTAGAAGCAAATACGCTGTAGCACTACTCAGTTCAGTGGGGGTGGTTAAAAGGGAGCTGTCTGAACAGAGGGAAATGACGATGATTTTCATTTTCTGTGTATTCAGTTCCCCTGGTGCTCGGGTAGGTGATCGTGCGTCAGGCTCTTCCATAGCACGTGGTTT